ACAAAAACCCTCAACTTGTTGCGCAACACTGTTTCGTTGCAAGTTTTGGTCGATGTTTCCCGTTTTTCACCTTGCGTGATCAACTTGTCGCGCAACAAAAACATTTGTTGCGGGTTGAAGTAAGTTGTTGCGAAAAGCAGAGCGCGGGTCTACTTTGACCAACAAATTTTGGCTTTGTTGCTCGTTTTTTATCAAACTCACAACTTGCCACGCAACAAATTTGCTGATGTTGCGCGATAAGTTGAGGGTTTTGTATCTCGTATTTCGCCGCCCTAAACGCCAGAAGGCTCATGTGTATACCGAGAAATTACGAGTGACTCACAGGATATTTTATGGTATTCCACTCCGAAGTGTTGCATAACTAGTATGTATCGTCGTGCAAACAGTAAAAGATGGCGAAATATGAAAGTGTAAAATGTATTAAAGTGCTACTATGATCAAAAATTCACTTCCCCTTTTCCTTCAAATTTTGAAAGCGTGTTTGTTTGACACCTGACTGGCAAAATCTTGAACTTCGAATTTTATCCAAAGGCTGTTTTCTTTGAGTGCAAGTTTAGGATTTCACGGCCGTCATTTCACATTCAAGACTGATCGATTGGACCTCAGAGGGTTGGATCGAGGATGAGTTAGATGACGTCAAAGACTCACCAGCTTAAAATTGCAGCGTATAAACGCAGCTTATTGTACATTCAAAACACGAGTTTAAAAGTCTGAAAGTTCGAAACTCCCGTGCTGCATATTAATTTAGGCGCTTGCACATTTTTAAACTAGTGAGTCTTTGACGTCATCTTATCCTCGATCCAGCTCTCTCAAGATTTTAAAGTTAGTAATGGCGGACCATCAATTGGGAAAATTTCAGTCAAAATAAACAGGTGTCTTTGAAATGAAGGCTTAAAACTTCGGTCACTTAGTGGTTCAATTATATATTTTTGAAATACAAAGAAAAAGTAGAATTGATTTTTGGTCACAGTAGTACTTTAAGCTACATCAACAAAATCAGAATTCACGCTGCACCTACCTGGCTTCTGATCTCTTCAATCTGGTCTCCTTGTCTCTCAAATCATCGACGTAATGTTGTTTTGCCTTTTCTTGCTCTATTTCCCCTTTATGCAGTCTGCAATAGAAAGGTCAATAATTTCAAGGTGCTAGCATGGACAGATCTACATCTTTGTTTGGGTTGGTTTGGTTTTTCACTTGAATTAGAAGTTTGGTCTTTTTAATGGTAAATATATTTTCGCCTTTAAATCATATTTATGTTTTAGAAAGACTAGGAAAAGCCTTGATTGATGAAAATACTTCATCGTGTTACACAGGTTTCTGGTAAATAACATATAACTTACGAGTACTATGTACATGTGAGTCATTTTGTATGTTCTTAGGCAATTTCCCATCCTTAGTTTTGCTTCATCAAAGTCATCTTTAACGTGTTTGGAAGGCCTTGCCTCATGTCGAGGTAATCGACCAATCGTCAGAAATTGGCCAACAAGGGAGAAAATGAATACCCGAATCTACAATAATTCACCATAACTAGAATGTGATTCCATCATGTACAGTTACATTTACAGTAATTACAAAATGAGGCATTAAATGTGCTTAAATGGGAATTTTTCCTTACATACAAATATACACTCAGTGATAAATAGGAACACCTCCCGGCAGTCATTAATACAATTAAGTTATTCGTCCCTCGGTGGTGTTATTCACTCACGTATAACTGTGCTTCGTTCCTCACTACTGGCCATTGAAATAAACTGTGATATACAATGAACGTAACTGTACACTTCGGTATGTTCGACCTGAAAAACCGCTTGGAAACAATGCAAGGGGACGGCTTTCTAAAATACAACAGGTATTAACACTGACATAACTTCATCCTTGTATAACTCGTTAAACATTGTAAGAGAAAAAATGCAACTTACACTTTGTCTTTTTCGGTCATTTCTTGCTTGCTACGTTGCCTCTCTTTTTCAAAATCCTCTTGCAGTGAAATACGTTCTCCTTCAAGCTGTGCAACTCTGTTATTAGTTAAAGAAAGTGATTCTTTCAACAATTAATGCGTTTCCATTTTGTGGCAGTAACTTGTAGACATATACGGATATCAAAAATTCCCGCGAAAAAAAAAAAAGAGATCGCTTGTACGTGTAAGCTAATGGAAGGTCTACTTAAATTAGCTTAGCACATTGCTAACCAATACTATCTACGTACTTTTGTTTGTTCTGGTATATAATAAAGAACTCCATACTAAAAATCATTTTGCTACACGTTATGGCACAAAGAAGTTGCAAATGTACGTTTAAAGGAGCTCAGTCGTGGCAGTTTGAGTTATTTTGGCCAAGTATAAATTATCTTTAAAATGAAGGAAACCTGAGCATAATAGTTAATTAAGGAATTAAGATAGAAGAACGCCAAAGAGATAATAATAAACCATAAAGAAACAAGGATGGTTTAGGATGGAGAAGATTGACACAGACTACAAACGTCGAACTTAAAAAATGTAGGCTAGACTTCTCAAGATATGCGCAAACCGTGACACGTCGGTCCTTTAAAATGTACGTTTAAAAAAAGACAACTGTTTCCAAGAATAGTAAGTCTGGGACACAAGTGAGGCAACTGAATCTGTGGCGTATTTGTACAATTATGCATGATAGTCATTAAGGTGATTCCTTAGAACTAGAAGTTGTCGGACGATTTTTTTTAAACTTTCCGTGAGTGTTGCCTACAAGGCACTGTTTCGAAAAATACAATAAAAACGAACGGTCACCATTCTCGCAAAAGAGTTCAGCCTGCGTAGCAAGCTTTCCCGTATAAAGAGCCTTCTCCGCATTCTGGTTGCGCATAAATTGGAGCGAGAGCAAAATCTCGACGAAGCGCGGCCTGAATACGGAAAAACTAAAAAGAGTTATGATGGGCCATATTTACCCCATTTGTGCCTAGTTGTGTGCGTTATTTCATCGGTTCACGTTACATTTTGTGGTTGCCGGAGGCTAAGTTTTTCAAAGAAATTCTCGAATAGAAACTTGATAGGTGAAATTCTCGAGCATATGCAACAATGTAATATATAATCTATGGGACATTCACACAATTTGAAATGACATCGACTCAAAAAGTTCCTCGACTCGTTGTTTTCAAGATATTTTGCACCTTGAGTAACGGTTCTGCGCCAGTTGTAGCATTTATTTCGCCGTCGAGCTTAGCTTGAAGGAAATCTCTTGCTGTGTTTGTGCAAGCACTCGTGTGCGAGCAAAATGGTACGCAGTAGGGACGCGTAATGCAATTCTGAGGATTTACCTTAAGGTTGCTCAGAACAAATTTCTAGCACTTTCCAAGACGTACTAGTTTTAATGGGTCATAATTACCACTCTTCATCAGTTGATGCCCTATTCATGGCATGGGCAGTTTTTTGATACCCTGATTGTCGCGTCAACAGATCAAGAGTGGTTATGATGATCCATCAAAATATACGTCTTGGAAAGTGCTGAAAACCACTTTGAGCCACCTTGAATAAAATAGTTCTACGGTGTAAAAGTTTTGCGTATACCTTTGATATTAAGCGCCACAGCATCCAGATAATATTCACTGCATTTTTAGCACCATTTGCACACTGTAAACAGATCGCTACATAATATATTTGTACCTTGCTTGTAATTCGTCTATTTTGGTTTTCTGGTCTCTGAAGGACTCATCGTGCTGCTCTTTTACCGTGTTCAACTGTTCTCTCATTTTTGCTAGTCTACAGGATAAACATCACAGAAATTTAGCCATTTCTTTATCTTACAGATTTTCTTTTCGGATTAGCTGTCTATGGTTGTTTCCCTTGCGGACATGTCATGACAGGTATGCCCTTTCCATTAAGGTAATGAAGTAAATTGAGGGAACAAAATAGCAACGCATTGTCCTCAGATAGCACTGGACAGTGTTCTTGTAAGTTCACCTGTGTCGTGGAATCATACATATCATAGGGTTTTTTTTCTAGATTAACTCATTACTTTTAGGAAATCAGTAACAATTTTTTGCAAAGGTAAGTCGCAATTAAGATTTTTCTTTAAGGCTATGTATTCAGATACCTGTATTTAACTAAATGCCATTCTTTTCTATCGTATATCACACATCATGTGATAGCATATCGTCAACACCAAAAACAATCTGTGGTTGCGAAGCATGGCATTACAACTTACAATTTTGTTCTTAAGATCTCACTTACTCCTCTTCTTTCTCAGCTAACTCTTTCCTACTGCGTTGTGTCTCCTTGTCGTAATCCTCCTGTTTTGCACGAAGCCTCTCTCCAAGCTCTGCAATTCTACAAGAAGTTCCCCCAAAGCCTTTTAAACATCTCGATAATTAAAATGTGCAACTAGAAACGCACGACGCACTCTTAAGACCTCTCACCAACGACAAACCTAATCCACTTATTGATTTACACAATTTACCTGACAACCTTCGCAGAAGTTTCTCGCTACAGTCGTTTTGGATTGTATACTGTTAGTTTGCTTAAAATTGGATTCCTTATGTTAACTCATTACATCTTATTCAAAACTTAATTGGCGCAAAAGTTTACCATAGCAACAGCTTACTCTGTTACAAACACCCTTAAATTTACCTTTCCTGCTAATATATAACGCAAAAATGAGTCCGATGACTCTCATCTCTTCTTATTAAATTAAAATTAAGATGCAACTTCTTACAAAGCTTAAAAAAAAATGAGGAAGCAATTATCCGTATTTTGTCCTGTCAGGTTCTCTTTTGAATTCTCCTTTGATTATTTCACCTTCTTCTGCTCTCTTCATTTGACGAATTAACTCGTTATTCCTACAAATAAGCAGAGTACTTGACAGAAAGTCGGTAGCTACACTAAGGGTTACGACATTCATAATTCTACCGAGCTGCTTTACCTGTTAAAATTATGGAATGCATGTCATAACTATGTAAACCACTGTGTACCACCATTTCATATTTCTGCATAATAGTTATATACCTTGCTTCTGATTCATCTATTTTGCCTTTCTGATCTCTGAAGGATTCACCGTGTCGTTTTCTTAACATGTGCAACTCTTCTTTCTTTTCTGCTAGTCTACAAAACAAACATCACAGAAATGTAACCTTGTAAGTTATCAATTTTATAATTTCCTTTTTTATTGTTAACAAAAGTGTTTATTGATTAGCAGTCAACGGTTGTTTTCCTTACGGATATTTGAGATGGGTTGTCGCGTTACGCGTTGTAAGTTCCCAGCTTTATTCATAAAATAAATTAAAGAGAAATAGTACATGAATGTCAGGTGTCAACACAACATTCGACTGTGTTCTGTTACACTGCATGCCTGCGTCGTGGAATCACACGTGTTCTGAGTTCTTCGAACTCATTCACTTTACATTTGTTGCCTATAGTAAAGTGGTGGGCGCGATTTTTTATCAAAGCTATGCCGCGAATAAGATTATCGTTAGTGTCGGATCAGTGGTATTCAGCCATACGTTTTACTTAACACCATTCTTTTAGTCTTGCCGTTCGACATCTTGCGTTAACGTATCTTGACCCAAATAAACCAATCTACACATTTCAGGACCTACACAGTTTAGGACGGGAATTACAACGTATTGTTTTGTGCTTAAGACTCTCACTTACTCCTTTTCTTTCTTAGCTAATTCATTCCTACTGCGATGAATTTCCTTGTCGTAATCCTCCTGCTTTGAACGGAGTTCTGTTCCAAGCTCTGCAATTCTATAAGAANAAGGCATACTTACTCCTTTTCTTTCTCAGCTAACTCTTTCCTACTAAGTTGTGTCTCCTTGTCGTGATCCTCCTGTCTTGCACGAAGCTCCTCTCCAAGCTCTGCAATTCTGGAAGAATTCCCACCAAGCCTTTTAAACATCTATATTATTAAAATGTGCAACTAGAAACGCGCGACGCACTCTTAAGACCTCTCACTAACGACAAACCTGATCCACCTCTTGGTTTACCCAATTTACCTGACAACCTTTCCAGTTTCTCGCAACATTTTTTTGGATTGTATACTGTTAGTTTTCTTAAAATTGAATTCCTTATTTTAACTCATCACTTCTTATTCAAAATTTATGATACTCGCATTATTGGCGCCAAATATTACCATAGCAACAGCTTATTCTGTTAAATACACCCTTACATTTCTGCTAATATACAACGTAAAAACGAGTCCGATGACCCTCATCTTTTCTTATTAAATTGAAATTAAGATGCAATTTCTTGCAACGTTTAAAAAAAAATTGAGGACGTAACCGTATTTTGTCCTTTCAGGTTCTCTTTTGAATTCTTCTTTGATTATCTTACCTTCTTCTGCTCATCTTTCATCTGACGAATTAACTCGTCATTCCTACAAATTAGCAGGGCGCAAGACAGAAAGTCGGTAGCTACACTGACGGTTACGGCATTCATAATTCTTCCAAGCTGCTTTACATGTTAAAATCACAGTATACATGTCATAACACTGTAAAACACTATTTACACCAATTTATATCAGATATGTATAGTGGTTATATACCTTGCTTCTGATTCATTTATTTTGCCTTTCTGATCTCTGAAGGATTCACTGTGTTGTTTTCTTAACATTTGTAGCTCTTCTTTCTTTTCTGCTAGTCTACAAAACAAATATCACAGAAAGTTAACTATATAAGATCAATATATAATTTTTTTCTTATAACTTCCTTTTGTTACTTTTATTAACTAGTAGTTGTTTTCGTTGGGGATATTTGAGGTACGTGGATGTGTTATGTGTTGTCAGTTCCTAGCTTTATTCATAAAATAAATTAAAGACCCAAAACAAATGAATATCAAGTGTTCACATAACATTCGACTGTGTTCTGTTGCACTGCCTACGTCTTGGAATCACACTTGTTCTGCGTTCTTCGGATCAGTGGTATTTAGCCACATATTTCCCTAAATACCATTCTTCAAATCTTGAATCTTAAAAAAAAGTGGTTTAACATCTTGCGTTAACCTATTGTGGCTAAAATAAACCAATCTGTAGTTGCTTAATAAAGCCCCGGCCAAACGATCGCAACATGTCAACGCAACATATCGCAACATTGTTGGGCACAACATGTTGCGTGCGTTTGGCCACCATGTTGCCATGTGTTGCGACATGTTGGGTGTTGTTGGCTCAAGTTTGAAAATGGTCA